CTATAGCACTTCTCTGGGCACTTAAGGAGGGCTTAGTTATAGGTGATGATGGGAGCAGGTGTGGCTAGGTTTCTGGAATTCCAAGGCCATCAAAGCTGCCTTGAGCCAGCTGATTTGCAGGTTCTTGTTTTGATAATTTAAAGGATGAAATTCATGGACTATAGAGGACAAGGTTTGGAGAGAAGTTTATTATAGATTTATAGTGGGATCAAAAGAAGGAGAAGTCCCCAGGACCTAGAGTACCACTGATCTCCTAGTTTAGGGGCCTTTAAAGGGATTATGACAGAAACTGGGATGAGGCATAGGGAGGGGGATGAGCTAATTAGTCGAGTTGGCCCAACCAGGTGTTCATGTGCCTTTTCTGGGGTTCAACCAGTAGTCACATAGTCATGTAGTTAAATGCAACCTTTAGGCAGAGGTGCTGATTTTGGAGATAATGAAGACACAGAAACCAGAGCTCTCTTCTGGCCTCTAGCAAGAACATTCTCAGAATTGATGCTTTGGAGTCTCTGCCCTACAGGCCCACTTCTATCTCAAATTATTGCCATTATTTTTAAATAAATAAGTTTTTTTTTTCTTTTAAAAACACTTTTTATTCACAGTAGACAAAGCACTATTCTTGGAGTTTTATACCTTCACAAACCTGAGCATGGCAGCCCTCCTTTGATCCTCAAACTTGAGAAGCAGAGGCAGGCAGATCTCTATGAGTAGAGGCTGTCCTGGTTTATTTGGTGTGTTTGAGTTCCAGGCCATCCAAGTCTACATAGTGATCTTGAAAAAAGAAGAAGAAGAAGGAAAGAAGAAGAGAAAAAAAGAAAACAACCAACCAAAACTAAGGCTTTCTGAGCTGGGAGAAGAGTTTGAGACATTAGGCAACAGTGCAATTAACCAACCAGGCAGCATTACAAAGATAGCCTTGAGGTTACCCCCATAGTAACAGTAGGTTCAAATCAGGTGACTGTTCAAGGTGCTCTCCTTCTGCCTTCCTTTCTTTCATCTATTTTGTTGCGGAAATAAATGGGAAAATATTGGCTGAGCTCTAGGATACAGCTTGATGTACAGTCCTATGGTGGAAGAGCAAAAGTCTGGTAGAAAAGTCAACCACATCATTAGATGAACCACAGGAATATAGCAGGATGTGGCATTTTCTGGCACCAAAGGATAGCAACAAACTACCAAGCCCAGGCAAGGACACTGCAAGCCCCCAACAAACTGTTCTCTCTCTTTTCCTGCTGTGGATAATTTTGAAGCCAACAACGGCCACCACTGGGGCCACACTAAGCCTACTTCCTTTAAAAAGCTGCTGTGGTTGTGCTCATAGCAAGACTCCAGGATCCTCCTCAGCTTCCTATTCAGGCCAGCCACTGAAAGTGCAGCCCCCGTGCCAAGGATTGGCCATTTCTGCACAAGTTGCACTTCTGTATGGGCAGTCCTGGCACCCAAACTCCTTGCTGGGCTGGCTGTGATTACCTCAGCTCCTCCCAGGGCTTTTATTTTTTCCCCTCCCAGATACTAAGTCCCTCCCCCTTCACTTACCTTGTCTTGGCTCTGTCTATACATGTTCCCTTCTCACTTCTTCTTTTATAGACATTAGTTTCAAGTTAAGTCTTTGAGCCTCAGCTTTACTAAGATCAAATTACATAATAGCTACCTTATAGAATTATACCATTCCTATTAAAAAGAACGGTCGGTGTGTTATTGCCTTGGTACTGTTTGTTAAGTATGATGGTGGTATTTTGCCTAGTAAAATGTAACACATTAACTAAAATGTTATTCTTGTTATTATTATCACCAAGTGCCAGAAATGTTTGTAATATCAAACTCCATACCCAGAGTTGATATGTCCAGTATTCCCTCTGCCTGTAAGATCTTTTATTTTGATGTGAATTCCAGTACAGTGTTTTTCACATATATTCACAAGATATCATAAGGCCAAATATCACTATATTATTCACTCTTTTAACAAACAGGTGGAGAATTAATTGTGTCTTAGGAATTATTTAGGACACTAGGATTTTGAAGTGTAATGACCAAGAAAAAGTTGTTTAATAGAAATATATACAGTGACAGGCTGCTGAGTTGGCTCAGTGTTTAAAAGTGCTTGCCACTAACCTGAATAGGTAAATTTGAATCTTGGGATCCATGTGGTAAAAGGATGGAACTGACTCTAACCTCTGTATATCTCTTCCTTACACAAAATAAATACATAACTATTAGTTTAAAAGTTTAAGAGAGAAGAAAAATGTTTCTAAAGACAAATATATGCAGTGACAAATGGCTGATATCTGAAAATAACTGTTACTGACTTACTTAGTCATTGTAAAAGCAGATGAGATAGAAATAGGAGATATAATTATGTATGCTTTATAGATTAAAAAAAGAAGAGTCAAAAGATAATAAGAGATCTACAGTAGCTTGTCCCATAGGCAGACTTTAAGCTTGAGTCTGAAAGTTACTGAAAATGCTCCCTAAAGCTCAAACTGAGTCCATTTCCTCCAAAAGACTGTAAAACACAATTGTTGGAATTTACCTCTGCATTATTTGATTTGGCAGAAGTATAAGGGAGGACTTAGGAGTTTGCATTCCTAGCAAAGTGGCCCTGGAACTACACTTCCAGAAACATGCTAGACACTGCTGCCTCTGCAAAGCTTCCTGTGATTGTGGAAGCCCAGGGGTAAAGTGATTTACTTAGAAGTTCTTTTTATCTCATATCATTCAACATTTACTGAACTTTGGGGCATGCAGCCTGTACCCATTTCTTGCTGATTCTTATTAACTGGCATTTAACAAGTGATTCAACTCTTTCTATCTCCATTTCCTAATTCAGGATGTATTCATTAATCCAAAGAGACCCTTCCCTCCTGCCCACCAATCTCTTTGTCGTTGATCGTAGAAAGGCTGCTTTAAGCTTTTTCATAATTAAAAGTTCCACTTTGATCACGCTCTTCAAAGAAACCCCCTAATTCGATATTAAGCCCTAAGATATGGGTTATTTAATAAAAATTTTAGTGTTTCAACAATGTCAAAGTTTGCAAAAAAATTTAGGAAGGTGATGTTAGTCTGTAATGGTGCCTTTAAGAAATGATAGTTTAATTACATTGTGTCAGTTCTTAATCCTATAAAGGACTATAAAATGTAAAAGGTGTTGGCCCTTTTTCCACTTAGCTCTTGTAGCTTTGTTATGCCTAGGTCACAAGATCCCCAAGAGACCACCAGGAACATGAGTCCGATGCAAAACACACAAGGGACTTTATTCCCAAGCTCGAGCTTGGGTTGCAGTCCTTTCCGACATAGCAGGTTGGGAGAGCAGCAGCCAGCTCCAAGGGAACAGGGTTTTTAAAGGGAAAAACCACAAGCAGGGGCTTCCAAGCCTTAGTGTTACATGACTGGACAAAAGGAAAAGGAATGAAATGCACTTTGACTTCGTTAGTTGACAGCACCTGGCCAAACCACAGACAGGAACAGCTTGCTAAGAGGAGAACTGTGACCCTGGGAACAACTTATGTTTTCTTAATGGACCCCGTCTTTATCTGTCTGCCTCAGCTGCTATGTCTAGCTGCAAGCTGCTGAGAACATTCAGTGGGTTTTTCTGTTTTGTTTTTGTTTTTTTTTTCTCAGAACTTAAGGGTGAGAACCAAGGTACTCCAGGGACAAGCTAACCTTGGATGAAGTCTGAGAGACAACATATAGTTAGTTCTGCTAACTTAACCCTTTCAGTTTAATTTCACATTAAAGAGCACTTTCACTCCTGAATTACCAAGAAAGACTCTTATCAAAGTGTGCCTTCAGGCGTAGGAGCCTAAGTGTTTTTAAAGCAGAATTTAGAGACAGAAGTGGTTCATTCTTCAACCACTTTGTTTCCTCAGACTGCTTTCGAACTCAGTGGAAGAGGTTCTGCATGCAAATATCTGTGATCTGTGAGATGCAGCACACACACACACACACACACACACACACACAAATGTACAAGCCTACAAGCGAATTGGGCAAAGGGGCACATGAAGTCGGCCTGGTCCACCTTTGTACCCTCAAGTTAGCTCAGAAGGAACATGAGCCCAAATAACAACAGCCAGGCAACTCAGAATAGCTCTCAAGAGAAGGGTAGGAGGCTTCCCTAAAAATGGTTACCTAACAATTGCACGCAAGAAGATTGATAGAGGCAGTAAGACTCTAAAGACCACCCTCCCATTTTCTCACCAGGGACAAAGCCTGACACAGGAGCTCAGAAGACCACCACCACCCGCTCACCCTGGGCAAGCTACTTCCTCTTTCTCTTAACTCTTGCTTTTCATTCTGAAGAGCTCGAATAATGTTATCATTGAGAGTCCCATCACCTCCTCCACCCACCCCCATTCAACTAAATCTTATAAAGTTCCAGAGAGGAAAAACAAAACTGATGTACCAAATACGCAGTACAATTGAAATCATCTTGAAAATAGGCAGACAGGAAACCAAACAAAACCGTGAAGATAAACAGGTAGAGTTGGGAAATGGAACAGAAGTTCTCAAACAACTGGAGTGGCTGAGGTTAGCAAGGAAAGTTTTTCCACAGGAGACAAAAATGCAGGCAAGTGGGCTAATGATTAAGAGAAGAAAAACAAAGGAAATAGAATTACCTCCCAGTAGACCTAAGCCTCTTGGTCAACCCCGTCCTGGCCCGAGGAAAGGTTCTATTTTAATCACACTGGCATTATCATACTCAGCTATAAAGAGTCCTCAGATTAGGGTCTGGCTGAGCTGGTGAAGGGCAGAGGTCCCTAAAACCCACTATCCTCCTCCCTCCTAATGGTGCCCATCCCCACCCTGCCTGATCTCTAACTTCCTAAGGCCCCTTTTTAATTCTACCCCACGCAGATCTTCCCACTGGGTCCTACCTCACCTAGTCACACCCTGCTCCGCCTCACAGCACAGTCTCCCCACCCCCATGCTCGCAGCCTCGCCGCTCCTCCCCCACCTCATTAGGTTCTCACCGCCCTGTAACCCCGCCCCCGGGCCTAGGGTTTCCGGGCTCCGGGGTATTTTAAGGCGCGAGCCACTAGGGTCGCCTGACTCCCGTCGCCCGGTGCTCCGCTTCTTGCTTTCTCTGTGGTCTGCTCCCTGGCACCATCAGCCATGGGTCCCTGGCCCCACTCGTTGCGCGCCGTCCTGTTGCTGCTGTTCTTGGCAGTCTGCACAGTGCGTTCCGACACACCTGCCAATTGCACCTACCCCGACCTGCTTGGTTCCTGGGTCTTCCAAGTGGGCCCCAGACGTCCCCGAAGTGACGTTAACTGCTCGGAGATGGGTAAGGCACGGCCGGGATCCTCGAGTTCTTCTTTTCTGTCACTGAGTCCCTGGCTGGCGGCTCGCGCTTGTGGATGACCGGAGAGTAAGAGCGGACGACTTGTCCCCCTGGGGAATCTGAGCCAGAGCCGGGGCCGCCAAGTTGAATTTGAGCTGCTGAGAACTTCTAACTTCACCCTTACTTTCTTGATTATCTCACAACTCTTATCTTCAAGAAAACTTTCCCCTAACTTTTTAATTGTTTTTTTTGCTTTGATTTCTTAGAAGAGAGTGGAGAACTGTTTTCTTGACTCTGCTCCATTCTGACAGGTTCTTGTTTTTAAGACTCCTGCTGAACATAGACTCTGTAGGACAGAGCACGTTTTTGTTTGTTTGGTTGGTTGTTTTTGGGAGGTGGTGTGCTCCCCCCCCTCCCCCCGTCCCCGCGTGAGGTTGTGGGAAAGGACCATCCTCCCAGACGACTTCAGACTGAACTTTCCTGACACCTACTTTGACGTTTCAGGCTGCTCTGTTTAAGGACTGCAAGGGATAATGCAAAAGCCCTTTTCTGTTTCTTTTGTCATGCTCTACCGAGTAGTAGTTGGAAATGCCCCGCTACCAAGCTCAGTGCCTGGCTCAGGGAAGTCTCTCAGGGAATGTTCAGTGAGTGAACACTGCGTCGTTCCACGTGCCTCAGACTAATTGCTTATCCCTAAGAAAACATTAGTACAGGTCGGAAGAGTGACACTCTTGGTCTTCCCTCTCAGTCTGACTTGCACAGAGAGACACTTAACTCTCAGCTAGCTGTAGTTTCCTTGTCAGTAGAATAGACGCTGTCACATGGCCACCCCCCCCCCCAAAAAAAAAAATTCATTTAATTAATTCCAGGTGACTGTCGGTTTTGCTTAGTCCTGGGCGGCGTTTGCCATTGTTTCTTTTCTAGGTTTGAGCATGGAGATAAGGCAGAGGGGAGAAAAGGTTTGCTTTGCCTCATCTCATGCAGTCTCCACTCAGGGTGTTAATCAGAAAGAAGGACAGACTAAAGTGTGTGGCTCCTCGGATGGATACAGCTCAATGCTCTTCTGGGAGCCTCTGCCTATAAACCCTCTTTTGACTCTAATCCAACAGTTAAAGACACAGAAATCTGATCCCTAATAATTTTTAACCTATGAGAGTTAAAATTAGTGTCAACTCAATTTATTTTTAAATATTAGAAGCCTCATGTTGGCTGGATCCTTTGAAAGGATTCAAACTGAAGTGTAAAGTGAATCTACAGTTATTGAGGAGAGAGGTACTTCATTTCTTTGAGCAGAGGATGACTTTCTGTCTGTATGGGATCAAAACATCCTTATGATTTGAAAGCTGATCTTATATATCTTTCTTTTTTTGATCATTTTTTTTTTACTTTCCCCCTTTTCTTTCCATAATTTTTGTTTGTTCATATTGTTCCTTTGCTTTATGAGACAGGGTTTCTTTGTGTAGCCCTGGACTTGCTTTGTAGACCAGGCCGGCCTCAAACTAACAGTGATCTGCCTGCCTCTGCCTCCCTGTGTGCAGATTAAAGTTGTCCACCAGCATGCCTGGCTTCTTTCTGTAATTTTGAACAGTTCTCTCCCCATTCTTTATCAGAGTAAATGTTGTTTTTCTCTTCTGTTTTCCCCTTTCTTTCTCTTTTGAGATAATGCTCTGCTATGTAGCCCTGGTTTACATGTAACTGTGTAGCATGTAACAGGCTTGTTTTAACTTACAGAAATCCAACCTACCTCTGACTCTGGAGGGCTGAGATTAACACACCCGGCTGGAAAAATATTTTCAGTGTTTGGTTGCCCGGTGATCTCTCCCAGTGTGCTGTCACCTTTATGTTCTTTAGAAACCTTGCTTCACAGGCTTGCCAGGACCCCTCCATCACTATATTGAGGGAACAAAATTGAGACTCTAAAAAAATTTTTTTAGGCAGAGTCTCACTATGCAACTCTAAATAGTCTAGAACTTACTATATGGTCTAGGCTAGCCTCCTAGAAATATTCTTGCCTCCATATCCCCAGTGCTGAGTTTATAATTAAAGGCTTGTGCTTCCAGGTCCAGGAGAGACTCTTTTTGTGTGTGTGTGTGGCCTTTCTTTCTTTCTTTCTTTCTTTCTTTCTTTCTTTCTTTCTTTCTTTTTCTTTCTTTCTTTCTTTCTTTCTTTCTTTCTTCCTTCCATTCTTCCTTTTTTTGTAAAATTTATATATTTACTTTACATCCTGACCTAACCCCCTTCCTCCTCTCCTCCTGGTGCCACCCTTCCACCCTCTTCCTTCTCCTCATCTCCTCAGAAAAAGGGGAGGCCCCCTTCACCAATCCAGCTGAGCACATCAAGTCACATCAGGACTGAGCTCATCCTAATGCACAGAGGCTAGGCAAGGAAGCCCCTGTTAGGGGGAAGTGATCAAAAAGCAAGCAACAGAGACCACATACCCACACAACTTACTAGGTAGCCCACATGAAGACCAAGCTGCTCAGCAGTTACTTATGTGTAGGGGGCCTAGATCCAGTCTATGCATGGTCCTTGGTTAGTGCTTCCATCTCTGCAAATCCCATGGGCCTAGGTTAGTTGATTCTTTTGGTCTTTTTGTGGTGTTCTTGTCCCTTCTGGGTCCTTCTATACTTCCCAAATCTTCCACAAGACTCCTAGAGCTCCGCCTAATGCTTGACTGTGAGTCTCAGCATCTGATTTGATCAGCTGCTGACTGGGGCCTCTCCAAGGACAGTTATGCTAGACTTAGCATAGAAACTACTGCGGAGATGTGCTCCCTGGTTATTCAGTTAACTTTTCTTTGTTATCCACTATGTTTTCTTTAGGACCAACAGAAGAAAAAGTAGTGGTACACCTGAAGAAGTTGGATACTGCCTATGATGAACTGGGCAATTCTGGGCATTTCACCCTCATTTACAACCAAGGCTTCGAGATTGTGTTGAATGACTACAAATGGTTTGCATTTTTCAAGGTTAGTTTTGGTTTCTAGTCATTTGTTATCTAAAATTACTCCTGCTTAGGAGCCTCTGGAGTGTTAACTTTTAGACCAAGAACATAACCAGAATAGACACACTAGTTTTCTAAGACAAGCTGGCTATTTTAAATTTGACATTTAAAAATTAAAATTTGAGTAAGTTTGTACATTTGAAAATGTGTAGTTTGGGTTTAAACATATATTTCTGTAAGTATGAAAAAAATCTTATTTCTTGTATTGCTCTACTTTTACTTTCTAATAAATGTTCCCTTAGTCACTAGCTTTGCAGTGAATCTGTAGGAAGGATAAGTAGATGATAAATTTCATTTTCTGGAGCTCATCCTATTCTTCTAATCATGTCCTGCTGGCTCTGAGAGATTGGCCTCAAGTACTCATTGGAGTATTAAAATGTATTACAAATGGTAATGTGAATAATTTATTTAGCCAAAGTACAGAACGAATAGAATGCATAAAAGTCACTATGATTCTTGAGCTGATTTAAGCAAAAGACTGGCTAATTTACACAGCTGGAATTTTACTTCTCTGTTTAGTAAAGAACCATTGTCTGTTTCTGTATTCAAACACACTGCTTCCAGATGCAAGCGTTCTCTGGATTAAAATGGGTGGGAGTGTCTAGATTTTGTGGCTCCCATGTGTCATTCTTATGGAATAGGTAAAACTTTTCCTATAGACCAAGTATTAAATGTTTCAAGTAACTTGAGCCTGAAGCAGCTGTTTCTCATTGTCCATAGAATATGTATACAGTTTTTCATAGTCTTTGTAGCCCCTGGAGCATCTGGTAAGAATAGACCATTTATAGATACTTCTGGGAAACTGGGGAATGCATCTGTTAAAAATAACAGAACGCCTATTCTCTAAGTTTGATTTTTTTTTCATGTGACTTATCCCCAGCATATAGTATTCTGAGCCAAATATAATTCTTAGAATAATGACTTCCAGAGATATTTTAATACAGACCATTCTTTAATATAAAATCAATAACTAAAAGGAAGAGATCCAGAGGAAGATACCATTCCTATCTGGTAGCTAGCTAGCTAGTCAAGAGTCGGTCTGTACTGTAAGTTAGGAGCCCATTTGGCTAGTTCAAGCCAAGTGTGACTAATTGTTAACTATTTTAAATACCAAGCTCCATGCAGTGAGCTGAAATTCCATCCTAGCAGTATCTGAATCTCAAGTTCAGTGATATGGTTGGTGTATTCAATCTGAATTTAGCTCTCGGTGTGTACTTGAATGGGTATAGGTTGGGTTTTTTGTTGTTTTTCAGATACAATACTTCCCCTTTATCCTCCCTCCAAACTCTCCTACATACCCTTTGTTTCTCTTTTTCAAATTCATGGCCTTTATCTGTTTCTTTTCTTATTTCTTAACACACATACACCCACACACATAAACACACACATCTGAGCATGGGTACACACACATGTTCCTAAGGACGTATGTATGACTTGCTCGGGCTATATGTCATTACTTTTATGATTGTTTTCAGGTTTGACCATTTGGTATTAGATAACCAGCTGGTGTCCTCGTGCTCTTCCCTGAGGAATACTTTCCCCCATCTCAGAATTCCTTAGTTGCCTGTAGTTCTTTTTGTAGAGCTGAAGCCTCATAGGCTTTCCCTAGACCACTTCAACAATGTCATTGTTGTCCGTGTTTGTTCCTGCTCAGGCCAAAGTTTTGCAGCCCTCTTCTGTAGCCACATTCCATTCAAGACCTTCTGCCTTCAGATCAAATCGGTTGGCTAACTTGACAAACAAATAGACAGAAAAGATACTTAGTTTACATTATGAGCCTTGAGATGTACCATAATTTACCGTCTGTGGTTTTTTTCTTCTTCTATCTCTTACTGATGCACAAGAAATACTTAGCTGATATTTGCTAAAATAATAGTAAAAATAGTAATAATAATAATGAAAAATGAATGGAATGGATGAACTTGAAGTTATTTTGGGAATAAATTGAATAAATCATTAAGAAGTTGGAAGTGGGATATAAATAGATGAATAAATAATTTATGCACTTGTCTTAGAAAACTTCCCATTTATCTGTACTGCAAAATACTGCCAGGAAAACTATCACCACTTGATTACCAGAGGCATGATAATCAGGAATAGTCTAAGGCAATTGCCCACAGTACTTATAAAGGATAGAAGAAGTATCTGGCATCTGAATGAGGGATTGGAAGACACTGTACATTTCTTTTCAAATCAGTTGAGTAATTTGGCAAGACTATGAGGGTATTAATCACATTAGGTCCAAAGAACCAATTTTAAAGCCAAATAAAGGCAAATGTGTTTTCAAGCTTACAGGAATGAGTCAATGTATATGTAGATAACAAATCAATGTACAGGTGTCCTGTATGTGCCTCAGGATGGTAGTAAACAGTGTTTATTTTCCCAGTAAGTTGGAAGAGGATTTTTACCCGACTGATTTTTTTTTTTTTTTAATGTGGATTTAAAGTATCCGTTTTCCAGAACCTTTACTGGGGACATGTTTTCTTTTCCTGCAGAAAACCCAAGCAATGTGGGTAATTTGGTTGGTGATAAAGATACTTTATACAATCAGCGGATGATATATATAAGATTTTTGTTTCTAAAAAGTCTAATCAAGTAGTTCCCGATGAACAGTTTGCAAAGCTTGCTACACAGGCCTGGTTACCCGAGTTAGAGGTAGATGGAGATCCACAAAATTGTCCTCTGACCTCAACATGACATACATACACCCCTCTATAATCATACATTAATAAACAGATAAACCAATAAAGCATTTTAATAGCAAATATGGCAGCAGTACTAGGGGAAAGTATTTAAAATTTTAAGAAAAAGTATAAAGTGGAGTGACTTTATGAAAGTACTTTGTTAACCCAAAGTTAGTTGGATTTTACCAGTGTCAGGGTATTTCCTACAGTGGTGAAAAACCGTATTTTGAGGAATGTGTGACTCAAGAAATATAAACCTGGTCACTGAATAAAACACATAGATTGTTTTCCAATGGCATAGAAAATATCTTTTGAACCAGTATTTAAAATCTGCCCTTTTGTTTGTTTTGTGTTTTTGAAACAAGGTCTTGATATGTGGTCCAGGCTAATCTTGAACTTGAAATTCTATCTTAGTCTCCAAATTACAGGGGTGAGCGAAAGGCCTGTATTAAAATAGATAAAGTGCAGCAATATTTTTGTTTGTTTGTTTTGAGACAAGGATTTTCTGTTGTAGCCTTGGCTGACCCGGACTCACTTTGTAGACCAGGCTGGCCTCAAAGTCACAGATATCCCCCTGCCCCTGCCTCCCTGAGTATCGGGATTACAGGCGTGCGCCACCATGTCGGGCTAAAAAGCAGCAATTTTAAATGTCATATATAAATTAAATTTATTCAGCCCAACTATTACATAAATATAAAATTTTACTGTCTATACCTGGCATTGTGATTCTTTCATTTATTATTCTAAAAATAATGTTGAATTTCTGGCTCCTTTTATTAGTACACCTAAGAAGAGATCATGTGCTTTTCATCACATTTGTGAAATGTGCTTTGCTCAGATTTCTGATTGTAGGTGGTGCAGGATGTGTTTATCAGGTGTTCCTTTTGAATCCTATAGCAGAGCAGCAGCTATGGCCTCTTTTCCACTTCCACTCCCCATTCTCTCTCTTACATTCTGGTTTGGCTTGGGAGTAACCAATGTCTCAGTCTGCTGCCACCTTGCTTTATTCACATTGTATTCAGGCATTAGCTGAAAGATTAATGTTTTTCTTGACATGAAGATTTGTAAACATTAAAAAACAAACAAACAGACAAAAAACCCTTGGTTTTTAGTTACTTAAAATACGGTAGGTTGAAATAAGACTAGTTTGCCTGTGGATTTGCCTGTGCCTCCAAGCTGCATAGGTTAAGTTGAACAGAAAAACCAGTGACTTTATTTATTTATTTGTTGGTTGGTTGGTTGATTAGTTTTTTGAGGCAGGATTTCGTTGTGTGTAGCTTTGGCTGCCCAGATCTCACTCTGTAGACCAGCCTGGCCTGGAACTAGCAGAGATCCACCTTCCTTTGCCTCCAGTTGCTAGGATTAAAGGAGTAGACCACCATGCCCAGCTTGACTATCTATTTTTAAAGGTTCTCTTTTTCCTATTTCTTCACGTCAGTCTCTGACCTGAATTCCCATCCAAGCAGGGACCTAAGCCTTTACGACCTCCTGTAAAACAAAAGAGAATAATTTTACTTGTGACAAACTGGAAACTTCTTTGAAGTCGTCTTTGAACACGTGGGGCTGTGTAGAACGAACAGACTCTGCAGGCAGGTTCTACACTATTGGATTATAATGGCAGTTATCATCTGGCTCTCCTTGTCCCTGTGGCACATTTACACCTCTGCGAGGTGTCTGCATATGAAAAAAGCAGCTGGCCTCCTATAAAAAACATGATAACAAAACCAGGTAGAAAATGAACAGCTGTGATTATGTCTGACTTTATGTGAGCGGTGGTAAGTGACTACTTTCTCTTCTGTTGGGTTTTTACGTGCTTTCATCAGTTTTTATGAGAAGTTATACAAAGCTCCACTGCATGACATCCTCGGCCAGAGTGTCCAGGGGAAGTCATATAAACAAACGAAGCCCCAAACAATGTCTTCAAGGAGAGCAAGTTCCTAATCCTCACCTTTTCTCATTTTATCTCCTCTGAGGCCGTGGAGGAGAGAGGGGTAGAAAAGATCCTCATCTTATTTTAAAGACAGTTATTCAAACGCTGAAAAAAATAATAGAGGGGGAAATAGGCTTGTTATGGCTAAATATTTTAATTGTGTGTCTTTATTTTGTGGGGGGTTTAAATAATGGTGGGGTTGGGGAGGCATTCGTGGGCCACAGTTCCTGTGCAGAAGGGGACCCTTGTCATTTCTTCGCATTTTATTTGGTGGTGGTCAACCTAAATTTTCTGATTATTGAGCTCTTTTGGGGGCTCTCCGATCCTAATTGAATTATATGCTAACAAATA